GGGCATCTGGGAGGGCATCTTGGCGAGCCCAGGGCCGTCTTTGAGCGTCTTGGGAGCCTCAGGGATCCTCTTGAGGCCTCTTGGGGGTCTCTTGGGAGCCTCTTGGAGGCCCCTTGGGCACCTCTTGGGACCGTCTGGGCGCCTCTTGTGGCCATCTTTGGGCGCTCTCGGGAGCTTTAAGGGCGCTCTTGGAGCTATTTTGGAAGACATCGACACAAAAAGCGGGAGCTTCGATTAGCTTTGTTTTTCTAGAGTGTTTGGAATCGCCTTTTGGGGTCCTCTTTGGCGATCTTGGAGCCATCTTGAAGCCTCGGATGGTCATCGGAAGCGACAAGGCGAGAAAACAAAAACTTGTGATGTGCCTTAGTTGTTGGAAAGATGTTGGCTTCTTCGGGGCCTCCTGCGGGAGCTCTTTGGCCACTTGAAGCCGTCTTGGGGTGGTCTTGGGACCTCTTGGAGCATCTTGGAAGACATCTTGAGCGACCTTGCGCTGTCTTGAGCCATCCTGGAGGCCATCTTGGGCTCTCTGAGGCGCTCTTGAGCCGTCTTGGGCCATCTTGGACGCTCCAACCCCTCGCGACCACCCCCGTCCAGATCCAGGGGAGAAGGTAAGGGGGAGTGGTAAACCCCTCGCCGAAGGGAAAGAAGGGGGTTGGAAGAGGAGCCTCACTAGACCACCGACGCCCAGAGGGCTGATGGGATCAGTTCGGCATGTGCGCGCGTGTGTAGCCCGCATCATGCTTGATGGGGTCCTTGCAGAAAGGAGAGGAAAGACAAAACACAACGCCTGAGCACCGCATAGCATTATTTGTAGGCGGCGGTGCCAGGGCTAGATGCATTGGCGGCCCGCATGGTATTGCTTGCGAGGGAAATTGCGCGTGTGTGGGACACGCACAGCTCTATTTCACCAACAAAGTGCTGTGGACCGGATTCAGGGATTCAGCCAAGTTTGGCAAAAGGAGAAGAACATGAATATATATATATATATATATATAGATATAAATAAATATATTTAGATATACGCACATATTGTAAGGTACGAGCGCTGAAGGAGAAGGTGGTGAGCAGCACGCGGTGGCAGGAGGAGAGGAGGGATGGGAGGTGTATGAGATTGTGCGGGAGGGGGAGGGAGGGGAGTGGAGGGGCAGGTAGCAAGGGCGACGGTAATTACGCACCGATGCGGGTCCTGGGCCCAGCACTAGCTAGCATGGTTAAAATTCGCAGTGGTGTATAGTCGGGCCATCCCAAAGTGAGGGGAGGCCGCTGATTTGCGTCGTTGCAGAGAGAGGATCTCGCCTTCGGCGCGCTTCGCTCTGGGCCGAACGCGGTGGAAGTAAAGCAGCGGAGGAAGCCCGGCGGAGGAAGCCGGCGGAAGTATGAGCGAGACGCCAACACGTCTGGTGCCAGAGTTTTTGGAACCAGCCGTTTGGATGGGGGGGCGAGATGACACGTGAGGGGGGAGAGAGAGGGGGAAGCACGCGCGCGCGATGGGGAGGAGAAGGAGGAGGAGGAGGAGGAGCAGGAGGAGGGGGAGGAGGAGGAGAGGTGAGGGAAGTGAAGAGGACAGGAGAGCCGCTTGCGGTGCGATTCGACGGCTTATCTCCCCACGTTCCTTCCCTCTCTCGGCCGGCCCGATCCCGAGCCGGCTTGGTCCTCTTCGCGCGCGGTCGCCTCTGGCGGTTTCGATCAGATCGCGTCCGACCGTGCATTCGACTTGGGCGACGTTTGGTCGTCATCCTCATCGTCCTCCTCCGTCGGCAGGCGCGCCTCGCCGGAGCGACGGGCGGGCACGGAAGCGGCTTTTTTCGAGGGTGCGGCCTCCACACCATGCCTGAATGGGCATGGGCGGGCTCCCCAGCGGAGTGCGCACGACACTGGCGTTCGTTCGTTCGTTCTGCGCCCTTCCTCATCATCGTCCTCATCGTCCTCATCGTCATCGTCGTCGTCGTCATCATCATCATCATCATCATCATCATCATCATCATCATCATCATCCTCATCCTCGTCATCATCATCATCATCATCAGCAGCAGCAGCATCATCATCAGCAGCAGCAGCATCATCATCATCAGCATCATCAGCATCATCATCATCATCATCATCAGCAGCAGCAGCATCATCATCAGCATCATCAGCATCATCATCAGCATCATCATCAGCAGCATCATCATCATCGTCATCGTCATCGTCGTCGTCGTCCTCGTCCTCGCTTCTCGCTCCTGCCCCCGCAGGTGGGCTCTGGTGCTCATCAGTGCCGCACCCCCCCCTGCAGCTGCTCGCGTGACGGGCACTTCCGAGGAAGGCCGATCCGGTCCGATCCCCCCGCATGATGCAGCCTGCACCCTGGCGCTCGGCACTACTGACCCGGGCCGCGGCGGAGAGGGGCGGCGCTGGCCCCCACGGCCGCCCCGAGGCCGCCCACAGCCGCGCGGTGCCCAGTGGAAGTTACTTACGGCCCCCACAGCCGCTCGGACCCCGAGGCCGCCCACAGCCGCTCGGCGCCCGCCTGCAGCCGCTGAGCCCCCACGGCCGCCCCGAGGCCGCCCACAGCGAGTCCTCGGTTCCGGCCCGAAGTCGGGGGCATCCAAGAGGAGGACGGAAGCGGGCGCCTGGCCGGTGTTCGCCTTCGCCTACCAGGTCGTCGTGGGCTCGTTGGGCGTGCAGGGGTGGCACGCGGGGAGGTGGCCCTGACCCCCTCGCGTCGTGAACAGAGCACAACGGAGGGTCTCTCCGGCAGCATTCGGTCTCCAAGGGCCCGCGCCAGGCTTCGGGACTGTCGAAAACCTGCTCGGGATGAAAAATTGGTGCCGGGGAGTGGGATTTGACATAAGGCCTCCGGGGGTCCACGTTGCGGAAAATTATCCCAGTGCGACCCTACCTAGGAGTTGGAACCCCTAGGAAAGCAGCATTAGTAGTAACAGTAACGCTAAGCTAAAGCTAAGCTAAAGCTAAGCTAAAGCTAAGCCACAGCTAAGCTAAAGCTAAGCTAAAGCTAAGCTAAAGCTGCTAAGCTAAAGCTGCTAAGCTAAAGCTAAGATACAGCTAAGCTAAAGCTAAGCTAAAGCTAAGCTAAAGCTAAGCTAAACGCTAAGCGAAAAGCTAAGCGAAACGCTAAGCTAAAGCTAAGCTAAAGCTAAGCTAAACGCTAAGCGAAAAGCTAAGCGAAACGCTAAGCGAAACGCTAAGCTAAAGCTAAGCTACAGCTAAGCTAAAGCTAAAGCTCCCAGGGGCCTGGGGGGAACCGCGGGACGGGGAATGGGGGAACCGCCCGGGGCGCTTAGCACTGCCCGGCCCCTTTAAGCTAAGAGAGTAAGAACCCTTCTAGGCAGAGCCTAGGTAGGGAAAAACACGACGTCGGGGATTCGGGGATGATTGTAGGGGTGCCAGATTATATGGCGCCTTTTTTCCTTTCAGCACATTCCTTCGCCACCGCGCGCCCGCGCACCCCATGCCTCCAGGCCGCGATGCGCAGACCCCCGCCCTTCCCGGCCTTTTTTCTTGGGCGCACCCCCTGTCTGGGCCGCGACGACCATGTTGGTGGCGCGGGCACCTCTGAAGGCGCAGATGTAGCGCAGTCGCGCGCGCTGCGGCCATGCGTGGGCTCAGACAGCCGCTCTGGCTTCGCCAGCGCCGCGAACGCGCTGGAGCCCCGTCTGGGGTCGAGCTGCCACCAGCTTGGCATCGCTCGGACGCGTGCACTTTTCTCGGCGAGGCCAGCGCCAGAAAATGTGTTTTTGGGGCACGATGTACCATCTTGAGAAAAGTAGCCCGGCGAGGGACCCAACCATCTACAGTTGTAAGTACCGCAGTGGTAAGGATCGTCATCGGTGGGCCACAAGACATGCATGGTGTGTGCCGACCGAATCGGGCACGGGTACGCCATGCGGACTGAGCTCCTTATGGGGCCACGAACCGTGCGAGGGGTGTGCCAAATCGGACGCGGGTACGCCGTGCGGACTGTGCCACTGGGGCTCTCGGTGGGGTTCCTTGTGAGGCCACGAAGCGTGCGATGGGCGTGCCAAATGGAACGCTGGCACGCCATGCGGACTGTGCCATGGGCGCCTTCTGTTGAGCTCTTTGTGAAACACGAAAGTGTGAAGTGTATCCCAAATCGGATGCGGGTACGCCACGCGGACTGTGTCATTGGGGTTTTCGGCGGAGCTCCTTATGGGGCCACGAAACGTGCGAAGGGTGTGCCAAATCGGATGCGGGTACGCCTTGCGGACTATGCCGTTAGGGCCTTCGTTGGAACTCCTTTTGTAACCACGCAACGTGCGAAGGGTTTGCAAAATCGGACGCGGGTACGCCGTGCGGACTGTGCCACTGGGGTTTTCGGCGCGGTTCTTTGTGAGGCCACGAAGCGTGCGAGGGGCGCGCCAAATCGAACGCTGGCACGCCACGCGGATTGTGCAACTGGCGTCTTTTGTTTGACTCCTACGAACCTCGAAAAAGTGCCAGATCGGACGCGGGCACGCCATGCGGACTGTGTCATTCGGGCCTTGGGTGGAGCTCCCCATGGGACCACGCAACGTGCGAAGGGTGTGCCAGATCGCATGCGGGTACGCCATGAGGATTGTGCCACTGTGGCTTCCGGTGGACCCAGGGACACGGTTTGGGCTTGACGGGCACAAGCATCGCACTTTCGGTTCCCTGCCACAGGCTTCTTGCCCACCCCATGGTCGCACGAGTCCTCTCTTGGTGGCGGTTCGTGTCCGAGTTGTCACTTCGAGTTCTCGGCTACAACCCCACGCGGGCGATTGGGGGGTCGCATGTACGAAATTGTTGGAAAATATCAGAACGTACGATGCGTTCATGATGGCGGGCACGATGTCGAACACGCCCCTCCACAGCGCCCAGGCCCTACGGCGGCGGGCAGGCGGACGGCTGCAGTTCGAGGTTCGCGAAGCTATTGCGAAGTAGATTTGCGGCGGCACCGAGTTGACCCCTGGACGGGCCTTCGCTGTTAGGGTAAAACACAGGATTGCCGATCTGTGTGTCGCCTGCCTCCACCACCCGCCTCCCCCCTCCAAGTCTAAGAAGCGCGCGGGGTATTATAAACGGTGGAGGTTATTAACTGTTGGTTGGATTCAGTCTTGGGGAGCCTTCGTGCACGGCGCGCGCCCTTCATATACGCAGATCTGAGCGACGGCGCGGGGGGGAAGATGCACAATGGCTTGCTCCAGGATAAGAAGAGCAATTCTGGCGGGATTTCCATTCTAGAAAAGCTTCTCAGGGGGGCTCGAGAGCAATTTCGGGGGTGATGGAGCGATACCACACGTTTGCTGCCAATACCCGATCTCGCGAGGAAATGACGCGCGCCCGACAGGAACAACAACAACAACCCGAGCCGAAAAGATGATGCGTGTCTTCCTCAGAAATTCGCTTGGTCCGGCAATCCACTGCCACCCCTTCAGAAAGCTCGGGCCCAAGTTCCAGCCGCTCGAAGGTGCACCCCCACGTGGCCACCTCCCTGCGTTGCCGCGTCTTCGATTAAATAAAAGAGGATTATTGCGAGCGCTCGATGACCGTCGACGATGGCACCGTGATACGACGATGGAGGGTCTTCGGGATTGGGGGGAGGCGGGACTTCACCATGGACTTGAATGTTCCAGCACCAGCGGCTGATATTGCATGTTTCCAAGACCATGAACCTCCAGATGGAATGTTTGGACGTTTTTGTCGACGAACGCGGGCGAAAAGCATTGAATTCGGGACGGCCCGATTCGACCCGAACGCGCGATGGAGCATCAGCGCCGTCGCAACCCATTGCACCGTCGGGCTGAGCTTCGCGGGCAGAAGTTAGGAGCTACGGAGGAGGAGAGAGGAGGTGGATGTGGAGTTGAACAGGCTCTCGTCGAAGCTCCAGCGCAAACCTCGTCGCCATCTGCGCCAGCGCAGCGCCCGCCCGGCCAAGGAGGCCACTGGGCGCAGGAGACGCCGCGGGACACCGAGGGCGACGGCAGCCCCCAGGCGGGCGGCTCGAGGAGGCGCTGGCCGAAGTGGAGGGGCGCCCGTCTGGCTTGCAGTTCCCCCCCCCCCCACTTCTTCCGATTGGTTAGGTGCACGGCGACGCCCAGGGGCTGAAGGGGGGGCGCAGGTGGAGACGCTTTCGCGGGATCAGCGAAGAATCGAGCGAGGGGGCCCCAGCTACCACGACGGCCCCACCGACATCGATTCGACGAGGCCGCCTCCAAGGATTTGATGGACCTCCCATAGTACGCGGCCCTCGCCCCGAAGCGTAAAATCGTTCCTGAGGACGCCACGCCGCTGGAGTGCTGGCACGTGACCCTCTTCCCTAGATGGCGCGCGCAGGACAGTTCCGGCCTCGGCCATTACCCATCGCCGCCCGATTAGAGAATTCCCCGGTTTCTCTCGGGCGCGGGGCTGCAGGAGACGCGGCGCCATCGAGCCCTTCCACCACTACACTGGCGCAGGAGCCAAGCTGCCGCGCTTCATGGGCCTCATAAGGCAGGCCCCCTGGGGAAGCGAGTAGCACGCGTTCTGCCGATCGAGAGTAAAAGCTCCCGCGATAAGAGGGCCCCCCCCATCGCCCACGGCCCGGGATCACGGCTTCGCGTCAGGCAGGAGGAGGGCGGAGGCGGTGGTGATCTCGATGGGCACTGCGTGGAGGACGGGCGCGGTCTCTCGCGCTTACTGCGCATGCTTCAAGGACTTACCAAATGCACTCGCTGGCACTACTCAGGACGATGTCGCTTCCTCTGTCATTCCCCATTGCCACGAGCACAACGCATAGTTAGTTTCATTAGCAACGGCGTCATCAACTTGCCATTGCACTTCCGCCAAGCACAGGCGGACCGGCTGCCCGACCTAGACAGGCCGGCACCGCGGGGGGGCGCATGAATATTCTTGAAGACGAGTACCCGACTTGTCTCGTCTTGGGGCCGAGGCCCCCGGGACCGCGACGCGCGCGCGACGGCGTTCACGTCGCTTCGGGGCGATGCCAGCGCAGACCTTTCATTGATGATGCACGCGGCGATCTACACAAGTTCGCCTTGGCCAATCTAGATTTCACGTTGGAGCAGGTTTTCCAGATGCCGCGGGCGTCAGATGATTTGCTGAATCGACATATCCGTGAATATGGCCTTGGACAAAACATGGAGAGGCTGGGCGTCTTGTCATTTTTCAGCTCTGGCGGCCACAACAGCCGGAAAATGCCCCCGCGCGAGCCCTCAACTCTTCTCCGGCGCGGCTCGCGACGCCGCCCGCTACTCGGGCCCACGCCGTCGCCCGGGGCGCGGCGCCTCACGAGGTGGCGCGGCGATTGCAGGCATCGCGGGCATCATCCTATAGTCTCGGGGGCGCCTGGTCCCACCCCGCCCCCTGATCGCTTCAAGCGTCTCCTGTTCGTCGGCCATATTCAAAGCGCGATTTCATCTAGCATTCTCGAGCGGCCTGGCAGCCATCTACACAAGTAGTCATGGCTACGCAAGGTTGGACAAGAGCTTGGCGGCGACGGGGGAGACAGCGTCGATGGGGACGGCGCGCACGAGGGGGGATGACAGGATTTGGCGCACGAATATTGCGCAGGCTTTGAGTTCCGGGAGGACTGCCCCCAGCGGCGCTGGACTGCTCGCTCCGATGTCTTCGACTTTTATCATGGTTGGGCCCGCGACTGCAAGAATCACCCTCAACATAGACGCTCTCTATGTGCCGGAAGCTCTTCAGATGAATGTCGGCTTCAACTTGTCGCGCGCGGCCCAGTACAAGTCGCCACCTCGGGCTCAACGCGCGAAGCGCACGGCGCCCGCAACCTGGCTCGCACATCTCACCCCGTCTAGCCCGCGCACTTTCTGCAGGCAGGTCTTCGCGAGCACATCGAACGCAGGCCGCCCTCTTCAGGGGTGAGGAGCGAGGTCATCGCCAGATACGATGAACTTCGGCCTTCCAGACAATTGCCAGGACCCCGAAGTCTCTGGTTTGCCCCGCACGCCAGCGCGAATGCTCGAGCTCGACGACTTCTGCGCCCACCTTCCCTCCCGCATCCCTGTTCAGATCGACCCATTCGATCCCACCGCTGGATATGTCAGCCGATCAGATGCAGCTCGAGCGTCCAGCGCGGCGCAGCGGGATCAAGCGCAAGGCGGACAAGTCGGAGAAGGTCGCAGTCGCGGGGGGGGGGGCAACAAGGAAGGAGGAGGTAAGCCAAAGTTACACAAGCACGAGGGCAAGGGCGCACCGATGAAGCTCATCACCCTCATCGCAAGGCTTCTCGTGAGCGCGACCCGCGAGGTGGCAGAAATTTCGTCGACCGCAGTCCTTCGCCACGTGATTCTAGCAGGCGGCGGGTTGGCATCGGCTCTAATCATGACAGGAATGTCCTACGACGAGGAGAGTCAACGCCTCCGCAAGCAGAAACAGGGAGGGGAAGAAATAGACTTCAAGGCTCAGCGCCCACCACACGTCCAGGTCGCAGCAGCAGCCGCTCGGCATGGAGCTGATCGGACCACCGCCTGAGGCGTGGAGCAGCAGATGAAGCAGGAGGAGGCCAACAAACACAACTTCATAGCTTTGTGGAAGAATCAGATCAAGGGAGCCAGCATCATTACCATGGTTCGCGCCACTCCGTACTCCCGCATCAAGATCGCGAAACAATTCGATAACCAGCCCCAGAAAGCCACGCTCCTGATGAACTTCGTTTGGGAGACCCCAGTCAGAGGATGATCGGTGAGGCCACGGAGGAACTCGTGACTGGAGGGGGGCGAGTTTCCTCCCAGACCTTGCCCCGAGAGGGCCATTAGAGCGCGAAATCAGCAAACTGATCGACAACGCCGTATGATGGAAGCATGGCGTACCCGCACCCTATCTGGCAAACCCACACGTTTCGTGGCCCCATATGGGGGCTTCCCCGAAGGCCCCAGTGGCCCACTCCGCACGGCGTGCCCGCATCCGATTTGGCACCGGCACCCCTAACACGTCTCGCGGCCCCACAGGGAACTCCACCAAAGGCCCCAATGGCACAGTCCGCATGGCGCACCCGCGTCCAATTTGGCACACACACACACACACCACACGCTTCGTGACCCCACGGGGAGCGAGGAGTGAACGTGGGGCGGTGTCTTTTCAAAACAGGGACCCAAAACCACAGAATGGATGGGAAAGCCACGCACGAGACCAAACCATGCACGGGGAAAGGACGCCCGAGCGATGGCAAGCGGGGCCAGCAGCCGCGTCGTCCGCCCGCCGCCCCCCCCGCCGGCGATGTACGAAAGCCGCTCGGAGTGGCGGCTCTTCGGGCACGGCGGGCGCGACCGGCGGCGGCCGGACCGCGCGCGGTGGTCGCTCGCGGCCGCGGCGGCCGCGCAGCGGCCCCGCGCTGGCGCGGCGCCGCAGCCCCGGGCGCGGTCCGCCTCCGGGCCGCGGCGGGAGGAGGTGCTGCGAGATAGCTCCGAGAGGGCCGAAGATGGTCTCGAGACCGCCTGCGAGCCTGCCAGAACTGCCCCGGGTGGCCTGCCAGACAGCCCCAGACAGCTCCAGGTGCCCCGAGGCGGCAGCAGCAGGCCCCCAAAGGGCTCCCAGGAGGCTTCCGAGAAGCCCCCAGAGACCAAACTCCCTTCACTCCCGACGGCCCCTCTGAGCCCCACGCATGTCCAAGATGCTCCCCGAGGTGCCCGAGGGTGCGGCCGAGTGGGAGATGCCAGTGGGCAGACGAGCAAAATATACCGACACCGATGCCCTTCCATGAGATCTCTCGCGTCGCAAGCTGTTCACGACGGGCGGCTCTGCCTCGTTCTGGACCCCAAGACCCTCACGGATCGATCCGCGCCGGAAAAAAACGCACCAAAAAGATGGGGTCCAGGTTTCCGGCCAATTATGAGTTTAAAAAGATACTGCAACATGTTCGCGACGTCGGATCTCAAGGTTCCCTCACCGCCACAGCTGCACTCGCTTCGAAATTCTGGCCAGGACGCACCCCTGGAGAGGCCAGTCCAGACATGCGATGTCCTGTTTTTTTTCAGAGGGGGTCCTTGAAATCTCGACCCTTTCCCCCGGGCCAGTTTCTCATCGCGAGTCGTTTTCTGACGGTTCTAGGCCTGGCGAGGGCCCCCAGAGGCCGAAAAATGCTAGAATCCACCCGTCATGAATTTGTTCAACGCGATCATGTCTGGGTGGGGAGGCCGCGATGTATCGGTACTTTGTTGCCCCCCCCAGGTGTGCGACGCGCGGCGCGCGTCCGCTCGGACGTCGCTGCCACTGGAGCCGCCCGCGGTGCTGGCGATGCCCTTCTGCGCGGGCGGCGCCAGCAGGGGCGGGTTCCGCAGGAGCGAGCGGGCCGCCGCAGTGCGTCTGCGGCACCGCGACAGCCGCGCTGGCGGCCAGGCGGCGCACAGGTGCACCTCCATGCCGGCGTTGCCCGCGCGGCACGCGCACGCGGCGGCGAAGCAGGCGGTTAGGCCGTCGAGCCCGGTCCTGGTGCTCCCGGTGTGCGGCCAGGATCCGCAGGGGGTTAGCTGTGCACCGGCCCCGGCGCCAGGGCCACACCCCCAGACATGCTCGCGTCGTTCAAAAAATCACGGCGGGCGGTTCTTGTCCGTTTTCGGTCTCTGTGGGCCCTCGCCGAGCCCAGGAACCTTCAAAAGATGATTCGAGATGAAAAAACTTATCAACATACTGCATGAAGCGATATTACTGCAAGAAAATGTCGAGAGAAAAGATGATTCGAGATTCAACCTTTTCCACACAGCATAGCACCCTGGGGAAAGGGTCGGGACTTCCGGAGACCCCGTATTGAAAATCCAGACACCGGATGCTTGGGTCCTGGGCCCCGGGAGGGCGTGCAGGCCCTCCTCGTCGGGGCCGGGAGGCTGCAGACGCCATCGAAGGGCCCAGGGCGGCCTTGGCCAGGGATGGTGGTGGTGTACAGCGGCCGTCTTCGATCACAGGACGGGGCGAGTCCTGGCGAGCCTCCTTCGCCGCAGGAGGCCGCGGAGGCGATCAAGTCCTGCCTCGCCACGGAGTCTGGCCTTCCGAGGCGATGGAGCGACCAGATGGGCACCCTGGGCAGAGGTTCTGGGGCGGCCCAAGCCACAGCGTTAATCGGCGACAGCGTGTCCCCGCCAGTCGCCCCCGCCTCACCAGACATCCAGCAGTACTCCCCGCGGGGGGCAGCACAACACCCCAGCCTGGGGTGGCCCAAAACTCCTTGCGAGAGACACTGCAATACTGCCGGCAGAAGGCAAAGGCAACACCACAGCCGGTGGCAGCGCTGAACGTCCTGCTTGAGACGATGCAGCACTCCCTACGTGCGGCAATACAGTACCCTGTGGACCTCCCGGCCCTTCCGCGGGCCTGGCTCCTCGTTATAGATCGCTTTGTGATGGTCCTGCCCGAGGCCAGCCTCCTCGGACCCAAAGTGGCGAAAGACTCGCCATCTCGATGTTGTGTGTGTTGCCGGATGTCTGGGTGCCCCCCCTCCAGGGCGGGCGAATCGGTGTTCGCCCCACTCAGGTAGGCGACGGAAGGGGTGGCTGTGCGAACATTCACGCGCAAGGTCTCGCGTAAGCGCCCTCTTCTCCACGCGGTGGGCCACTATGGTGGCCTCGTAAGCCGCGGCGTAAGGTTGCTGCGTCGCCTTGCGCAAGATCTCTTTCCTTTCGTCGCTTAGGTAACGACCCGAAGTTTCCCGCTGGCTGGGCATCGTGGCAAGAGGTTGGCGACATGGAGCCGACGACAATGAGCCGGAAGACCACTGGCTCCACGGCTGACACTCTGGTCACACCCGTTGCCACAGCACGCAGAGGGCAGCTGAGAGTGATGACGATGAGCCGGCAGGCGACCAGCGCCGACTCCACGACCGAGAGCTCGGGCACGCCCGTGGCAGCAGCCCGCCCTGGGCAGCAGAAGACCAGAAGCTGCACGTGCACGAGTTTTCGGACGCACGCGCGGATTTCTCGGGTCGGCGCGTGACCCCCCCCCCCCATCCGCGCATGCCTGGGCCGCGCCTCCGGCGCCGCCCCCCAGGGTCCGGGGAGAGGGGCCCAGCGCCGACGCGAGAAGTCCGCGCGGGGCTCCGAGAGAGCATGCTCGTGCCGTCTTGGCTCGTCTTTCAGGCAGATGCGCTCCACGCAGAGCTTGCCGACGCTCAGACCCTCGAGGCCATCGTTGCCCGACGTCGCGATGGAGATCCACAAGTATGCGAGGGAGATGGCTGTCCCACTGGACGCCATGCGGGCTGCCTTCAGCCTGTTCAAGGATCACGCAGTGGTCCCAAGCGACGGCAACCTGCTGACGGACGGCAGCCTTACCAGGAGCAAGTTCGTGCCCCTCTTCAGGCAGATGCTCGGCGAGGCTTCTGCCGCGTACGATGCCGATGAAGAGGAGAGCTTTCTAGACCATGCCCTCAAGGCCGCCGACAAGAACAACGACGGAGTCTTGAGCTTCCATGAGTTTGCCATCTGGTACAGCAGCCATTGTTTCGTGGAGGGCTTCCATCTGGACGCCAAAGAGCAGGCGCTGCGCAAGCTCGCTCGCAAGCTTGGCGTCTCCGCTACCGAGATCGACGTCTACAAGAGGCACTTCGACACATTCGATGCGGACGGCAGCGGCTCGATAGACCGGGAGGAGTTCGAGGAGGTGCTGTACAAATGCGGCAACGTGCCCAGGCACATCGGTCTCCCAGCCAGCCGGATCAACCAGCTATGGATGGCCGCAGACATCGACGGCAGCGGGGAGATCGACTTCGAGGAGCCGACGAAGAAAAAAAAGGCATAGATCTAGATCGTCGGAACTCCGCGCGGATTCCCAGCATCGGCGCTGGGCCCCGCTGGCGGTGCCTCCGGCGCCGCGCTTCTCCAGCGCCACCCCCGAAAGGGTCGGGGGTGGACAGAACCCCCAACAGTGACACGTCGATTAGTGATTTGTCCGTTTTCGGTTCTCGAGAGGGCGCCGCGGCCGTTATTTTCCAGGCTTGCGCCCGCCAGCTTTGGGCCCGAAGTCGTTTTCACTAAACCACGTTTTACTAAAGGGAGGTCTGTCCATCCCCGAAAGGGGTCCCCAGCACAGCTCCGAGAAGGGTCCGCGCGGAGCTCCGAGAAAGCTTCTGCCCCATGCCGCTCCGGGGTCGAAGCGCCGGCTCCAGCATCCTGCGGCTTGTGCACGCCCACTCCTCCTCCTCCTCCTCCTCCTCCCCCTCCTCCCCCTCCTCCCCCTCCTCCTCCTCCTCCTCCTCCCCCTCCTCCTCCTCCTCCTCCTCCTCCTCCCGCCCCGCTCCCCCCTTCTCCCCCCCCCCCCCGCTCCCAAGCGCGAGGCGAGGGGAGGCACGGGTGAGACGGTTACACGATGGGCGTGGGCGTCGCCGATGCCGCTCTGGGCCTCCCCCCTGGAGGAGTTCGTGATCTTCTTCCGGAAGTATTTCCAGAAGGCCTCGCGGGAGGGCGACCGCACCGGCTTCGAGCGGTACTACTCCACTGGGCTCGGCAGCTTGGTCTACACGTGGCGGTAGAGCGACAGCGGGCGGGCAGAGGTGGAGGAGGAGGAAGAGGGGAGGAGGTGGAGAGGAGGAGAAGGAGAGGGGTCGTTGTCAGGCTGCACTCGGACTTGGCAACAGCACACGAGGAGCGAAAAGCGAAACATATACACAAACGTTTTGCCGTTGCTTCTTTCTCGAGGTGTCCAGCTGCATTCGGACTCGGGACCATCACCACGCCAGCGTGTCCCAGGCTGGAACGCGCGCCACCCGCATGGCGCAGCGTGCAGCGCGATGGGGCGTGCCGCTCGTGGGCCGCTCTGTCTCCCATCTCTCCCACGGGTGGAGAGCATGTCCAGACCCGCGCCCTCGCGGTCTGGCTTCCGGGGCGCGATCCCGCGGAGACACGGTTGCTCTTCGCCCACGGCTCTCCCTCTCCCTCTCTCTCTCCCTCCCTCCCTCTCTCCCTCTCCCTCCCCGTCCCCGGCCCGTGCGGGCCGTTGCCCGATCATGGCCTCTCCCCTCGCGCCGCGGTCTACCCAGCTTCGGCGTCGCGCGCATCCGCCCCCACCGCGCCTGGGGGGAAGCTGCGCGGCAGCGCCGCAGCGCAGCCTGGTGGTGGCTCTGCGAGAGTGCCGCGGTGCCTCTGGGGGCCTGGGAGCTGGAGCTGGCTGGGGGTCCGAGGTGGCCCAGCACTGGTTCCAGCGAGCAGGAGGGGGAGAGAGGTCCGAGGCTCTGGGCTCGAGCTATGATGCTCCAATCTACTTGAGCCTTGATCACCAGGAAGAATTTCGAGCGCCCAAAAAAGTACCGAAACTCAAGGGTTTTCACGTGTCGGGCCCTGGGGGGCACTCGCCCGACACTGTTTGGACACTGTTTCGACACCATTTTGACACTTTTCCGGGTGCTCGAAATTGTTTCTGGGATGCGGTCCTTAAGTAGGACGGGAACAACATAAGGCTCGAGGAGGTTTTTGCCTTCTTCGGTCTCTGGGGGCCGTTTTTGGGCCCCAGGACCGTCAAAAACGGATCCGGCACAAAAATCTGCACCGGATGGACCCAGGAGGGGTCCAGGGTCCAGGGACCGATTTTGAGCGGATTTGCCTTTATCCCCACTTCTTGACAGATTTTCTCCAGGTCCGTCCAGTTCAGACCCGTAGGCCTCCCCCAACCTTGGAGTCATTTGTCTATGCCTCCTAGATGGGGTCGGAGGATCGCGCCGCATCGCCGATGCATCGGCGATACGGCTCGATGTGGAGCCCGATGTGCTTCACGTCGACGTCGGAAATGCATCGCCAACGTCGCCGATGCATCGGCGATGCGGCGCGGTCCTCCGACCCCATCTACTCGGACCCCACTCGGGAGGCCTCAAATTTGGGTGGCGTTCCAGCCTCAGGGTCGGATATCCCGGGGGTCGACGGCGCAGGGCTTTCGCCGGTGAGTGGCCCGCCCTTTGCTCCACGCGGCGTGCAGCGTGAGCGGTCCGCGCAAGCCATCGCGCACGGCTTCGGTCGAAGAAGAAGGACTGCACAAGCGTAAATGCTCGAAGCTCTCTGCGGACCCTCGAAACTTCACAATAGTCCCTCGCAGTTGCGGGGAAGACGGGGAGCGGCGGGGTCGTCGGCAGTCTGCGAGGCTCTGAAGAAGCCCGCCGCAGGCGCCAAATTTCGTCAAAGCAACGTGGATGGCTCGCCTGTGGGTCGCGGGTGGGTCGCAGGTAAGTCGCGGGGTGGGTTGCTAGGTGGGTCGCGGATCTGATCGCGTGTCATACAACATGTGTATCCCAAACCCTCGCTACCAGCCCTCTTCGTCTTCGACCGTACCCCCTTTGGGGGAAGATCTTCCTTACCTGCCACGTGTACTTGGTGCAGCCCCTAAAGCAGGGGAAGGGAGGGAGGAGGAAAGGGACAAGGTAGAGGGAAAAGGATGGAGCACGAGAAAGATTGGCAGGAGGGGCATTAGGAGCAGGAAATCAAGCGACAGAACCAGACGGTCGGATCGGGCGGGCGGACCCTCACGGGCGGGTCGGGCGGGCGGACCCAGACGGCCGGGTCGAGCGCAGGCGGGTAGTTGAAGCGTCAGTCCTGCATGAATCGCGAGGAAGTCTCGAGCGATAGCGCGAGTCCAAAGTAAGTCGCGAGGAAGTCCAGAGCGAGAGCGTGATTCTGGAGAGTCCAGAGCGCGGCGTTTCAGTAAGTTGGAAGGAGGTTTCACGCGAGAGCGCGATTCTTTCATAAAGCGTAGGGAAGTCCAGCGCGAGAGCGCTCTATTGAATTGATTGTGAGGAAGTATCAGGCGGGAGCAGCTGTTGCTGTAAACCGGGGACCGGGGGCACAGCCTGAGGCTCAACAAATCCCTTGTAACAAATTAGGTGCGAGCCCAGGGATGGGCACCGAAATGGGGATCAGCAGTAACTGATATGTACAAATGAGATCTCAGCAACGCAACAACAACAACAACAGGGACAACAACAGCAACAGCACCAACAAAAATAACAATAACGTCAGCATCAACCACAGCAAGCACAACAACATTATGTTTAAGACTGTTCGCTCCAATTTGCCCACGTGCCAACCAGTACGTTTATCCCAAACCCTCGGGACCCGCCCTCGTCGTCTTCGATCGCGCCCCCTTGGGGGTATATCTTCCTTACCTGCCACGAGCATTTAGCGCAGCCCCAAAAATAAGGGAAGAGAAGACGGGTGGAAGGGGGAGGGAGAAGAATGGAGCACGAGAGAAATTAGCTGAAGGGGGGCAAGGAGCAGAAAACAAGTGGTAGAACCAGACGGGCAGATCGGGTGGGCAGACCCATAGCGGGCAGGTCGGGAAGGCGGGCCCAGGCGACCAGGTCGAGCAAGTGGGTCGCTGAAGCGTGGGTCCTGCATGAGTCGCGAGGAAGTCTGCAGCGATAGGGTGCCAAGTAAATCGTGAGAACAGCCAAAGCGAGAGCGTGATTCCTGAGCACCAAGGGCGCATCGTCTGAATAAATTGCGAGGCGGTCCAACGCGAGAGCGCGATTCGTGTACACATTATAAGAAAGTCCCGCGCGAAAGGGCGATTTGGGAATAAATTGTGAGGAACTGTCAGGCGGGAGCCGCTGTTGTTGTAAACCGGGGGCCAACAACACAATTTAATCCCCGTGATTGTCCCTGATCTTTACATTAAAAAGATGGCGCGAGCCTCGGGGAAAGCACTTCAACTGGAAAAAACAATGTTCACCGGAAGGGGGATCAACAATAAGTATTATTCAGTAGTGAGAGTTCAACAACAACAGAAACAACAACAACAACAACAACAACAACAACAACAACAATCGTTCTAAGATTGTTCGTTCTTACTTGCCCGCGTGTCATTCAAAACGAGTTCCCCACACAGTCGATACCCGCCTTTTCTGTCTTCGATCACACCCCCTGTGGGGGGATTATTTCTCTTTGCGGGGGGCGGCGGGCTTAGACAGGCGGGCAAACCTGAACGGGCGGACAATCCTTCGTGGGCGTACATGTGCCCGCCATTGGAATTTCTGTGGGCCCTGCAAAAAGAGGAGGGGGAGAACGAGGGCGCGTGGGAGGAAGGGAGGGGGAGGGACGAAGGAAGAGGGAAACCGACAGGAGAGACGGAGCGAAGAGGGGGGTGGTTGATTAGAGGCAGAGAGAGAGAGAGAAAGACTGATAAGAGAGGTAAAGAAAGAGAGAGAGAGAGAGAAGGAGGGGAGAGAGAGAGAAAGAAAGAGGGAGGGAGTAGGCAGGAGAGGGGAGGAAGAAGGGAGGAGGGAGAGGGGATAGGGCAGAGAGGCACAAGGATGAGGGAACAGAGGAGGGAGAAAAAGGGGAGGAGAGGAGGGAGGAGGGAGAGGGAGGAGGAGCAGGAAGGTAAGAGCGTGAACGTTCGAGGAAGTCCTAGGCGAAAGCGCCGTTCCTGAAGGAAGTCTCGGGCGAGGGAGCCCACGACGGGCGGACGATCCCCTGACGGGCGGGTCGGGCGGGTGGGACATTCAAGCGGGATGCTTGGGTATGGCGAGAGCGCGATTACTAAGCAAATTGTAACGGCGTCCTTGGCGCAGCGTGTTTCCTGAGCGTCGGCAGCGCGATGCCTGAATAAATTGCATGGGTGTCACAGGCGAGAGCGCAACTCCTGAAGAAAATGTGCAGGGTTCTCTGGCGGGAGTGGGGGTCTTGATTAAATTGCGAGGAAGTCTTGATTCAATCGCCAGGAAGTCTCAAGCGGGAGCGCCGTTCCTGAGTAAAGTGTGAGGAAGTCTCACATGGGAGCGGGGGTCCTGACTAAATTGCAAGGAACTCACAGGCGGGAGCACCAATCCTGCGTAAATTGTGAGGAAGTCTCAGGAACGGGGTCCTGAGTTAATTTGGAGGGAGTCTCAGGCGGGAGCCTTGTAATTCGGGGGGCCAAGGGCCCAGTTTGAGCACCAAGACTTCCCTTTCAAAAAACAGGGTGCGAGCGTCGAGGGGCGCACTTTGATTAAGAAAAAACAGCATGCACTGGAGAGGGGGACCAACAGTAGCTATTTTTCAGAAGTGAGAGTTCAACAAGAAGTTGAAAATTGTTCGCTCCTATCTGCTCACGTGCCAACCAATACGTATATCCCAAACTCTCGGCACCCGCCCTCGTCGTTTTCGATCGTACCCACTTGGGGGGATAACCTCCTTACCTGCCACGCGTATTCAGTACAGCCCCTAAAACAAGAGAAGAGAGGACGGGTGAAAGTGGGAGGGAGAAAAATGGAGCACGAGAGAAATTAGTTGGAGGGGGGCAAGGAGCAGAAAACAGTTGGTATAACCAGACGGGCAGATAGGGTGGGCAGACCCATAGCGGGCAGGTCGGGAAGGCGGGCCCAGGCGACGAGGTCGAGCAGGCGGGTTGCTGAAGCGTGGGTCCTGCATGAATCGCGAGGAAATCTCGAGCGATAGCGCGATTCCCAAGTAAATCGTGGGAAAAGCCAGCGTGGGCCACGAAGGGCATAAAATCCGAGGCCACAAAGGGCAGCGACGGGGCCGCTGAGGGCAGCACCGGGGCCACGAAGGGCAGCGAGGGGGCCACAAATGGCGAC